TCATGTCCGCTCTAACTGCATCCATAGATCTCCTATTTGGCCTTCCTCTTTGTCTTTTTCTGGCAGCTGCATTTCTAACATCCTTCTACCAATATACCCACTGTCGCTCCTCTGGACATGTCCAAATTATCTCAATCTGGCCTCTCTAATTCAATTCAATTCAATTCAAATTCAATTCAAAAATACTTTATTAATCCCAAAGGGAAATTATTTGTTGTTGTAACTCGTTATCCTCATTTCATTAGGAGATGTTATAGATACTGATGGCTGTAGGCAGGAAGGATCTCTTGTAAAGGTCCATCCCACAGTGGATCCTAAGAAACTGGCTGCAGATGCCGTCCGATCCGTCCACCCAGACTCTGCTGGCCTCTTGGTTCCCTCGGGCTGTAGGACCGCTCGAATGCCGGGCAGAACTCCTCCCAGAGCGATGGCCACTCCTCCCAGCAGTCTGCTGAGCTCCTCGTCGCTGTGGACAGCCAACTGTAGGTGCTGAGGGACGATCCTGTCCTTCCACTGTCATGAGCCGTGTTTCCTGCTAGTTCCAGGATCTCAGTGGTCAGGCACTCGAGCACAGCTGGCAAGTAGATGAGAATGCGTCCACAGAGCATCCTTTTCAACTCATTTGAGATTTGGGGCTGTAGTTGAGATATTATTTTGAGCTTTTGAGATGTTAATCAGCTGCTGTTGGTTGTAGAAAACTGCCTTGTTGCCATGGTTATGCATCATAACAAATGTCCAAAACTAAAAAAAGTTTCAGTAAAAACTCTTCTGCACAACATCCAATACCAGAGGAAACAATCATCCAAAAAACGTGATTTACATCCAGAAAAACAGGAATTAAAGTTTCCAAAAGCAAAATCTCAGAATGAAAGAAACAGAGCTGCTCCAACATGCAGCCACCTTGAGCGGCACAATTCTAGAACAATATAATAATTTTATCTCTCAGTTGTTCAACCTGTGCTGCACCTCTGATGATCTCATTCCTAATCTTAGTATTCTTGTCACTCCTAAGGAGAAACTCAACATCATTTCTGCCACTTACAGTCATTTCTCCTGTCTTTTTGTCAATGCCACTGTCTCCAGACCATTCAATATAGCTGGTCTCACCAGTGTCTTGTAAACTTTTCCTTTGACCTTTTCTGCCACCCTTTAGTCATAAATCACTCTTGAAACTTTTCTCCATTCACTCCATCCTGCCTGGACTCTCTTTTTCACTTCTTTACTATATTTTCCATTTTCCTGGCCAGTGGACCTCAAGTACTTGAAGTCCTGCACCTTTGTGACCTCTGCTTCTTGTAGTCTCCCTGTTCCATGGACCTCCCTCTCATTCACACACATGTGCTCTGTCTTACTACAGCTGACTTTCATTCCTCTTCTTTCAAGTGCACACGTCCACCTCTCTAAGTTCTCTTCCACCTGTTCTCTGTTCTCACCATAGACCATAATGTCTTCTGCAAATATCATAGTCCATGGGGATTCCTGCCTGACTTCATCTGTTAGTCGGTCCATCACCAGAGCAAACAAGAAGGGGCTTAGAGTCGATCCTTGATGCACTCTCACCTCCACCTTGAAGCTGTCACTCTTACAGCATATCTCACCACTGTTCTGCTATCCTCATACATGTCCTGTACCAGTCTAACATACTTCTCTGCCACTCCAGATTTCCTCATGCAATATCACATGTCCTCTCTTGGCACTCTGTCATATGCTTTTTCTAAATCCACAAAGACACAATGGAGATCTTTCTGACCCTCTATGTTCTTCTTCATCAGCATCCTCAATGCATAGATGGCATCTGTGGTGCTCTTTCTTGGCATGAAACCATACTGCTGTTCACAAATAGTCACCTCTCATCTAAGCCTTGCTTCTACAACTCTCTCCCAGATCTTCATTGTGTGGCTCATCAACTTAATTCCCCTGTAGTTGCCACAAATCTGTACAGCACCCTTGCTCTTAAAAATGGGCACCAGCACACTTCTTCTCCATTCCTCAGATATTGTCTCACCCTCAAATATGCCATTTAATATTTGAGTCAAAAACCTCACTATCGTCTCTCAAAGACATTTCCAAACCTCCACTGGTATGTCATCAGGTCCTTACTGCCCTCCCCTTCTTTATTCTTTTCAGAGCTTTCCAGACTTCACCCTCACCAATATTTCCCATTTCCTGGTCCACTGATTCTATGACCTCTACTCTTCTTTCCTTTTCATTCTCTTCATTCATTAGCTCATCAAAGCACTCCTTCAATCTTCCCGTCACTCTATCCTCATTTGTTAGAACCATTCCTGTCTTTAACAAGCCTAACCTGCTGCACATCCTTTCCAGACTAATCCCTCTGTCTTGCCAATGGGTACAAGTCCTTCTCACCCTATTTAGTGTCCAACCTCCCATACAGCCCATCATATGTCTTCTGTTTTGCCTTTGCTACCTCTGTCTTTGTTCTACATTGCATCTCCTTATATTCCTGTCTCCTATCTTCAGTCCTCTCACTGTCATGTTTCTTTTTGGCTAACCTCTTTTTTGAATAGTTTCCTGCACTTCACTATTCCACCACCAGGTTTCCTTATCATCCATTCTCTGACCAAATGACACACCAAATACCTTCTTACCTGTCTCTCTAATTACTGTTGCTAGTAGCCCAGTCATCTGAAAGCTCTTTCTTACCCAGAGCCTTTAAAAGCTCTTCTGTGACTTTCTCAACATTTCTTCCTTCTTCAGCTTCCACCATTTATTCTTCTTCTCTGATTTATTCTTTTTCTCTTCTTCACAACAACAATCATTCTACACACAACTATCCGATGCTGTCTGGCCACACTCTCCCCTGCCACAACTTTACATTTCCCAATCTCCCTCAGGTTTCCTCTTCAGAATGTATTCTACATGCATACTCCTTCCTCCACTCTTATAGGTCAATCTATGTTCCTCCCTCTTTTGGAAATAGGTGTTGACTGCAGCCATTTCCATTCTCTTGGCAAAATCCACCACCATCTGTCCTTCATGGTTTATTTCCTTGACACCATATCTACACATCACTTCCTCATGTCCGTTTCCCTCCTCATGGTCGTTGACTAACAGTAGCATAATTTCCACCGGCACGCTGTTTGTCCACAGCACCGGTGGTGGACGTTGTTGACCCGGGCCTCGACCGATCCGGTATGGTGTTGCTTAAATGAATTTGCATTATAGTTTTGGCAAAAGTGTTTTACATCGTATACCCTTCTGGATACAACTCTCATCATTTACCCAGGATTGGGACAGGCACAAGAGATACACTGGCTTGTGCACCCTAGTGGCTGGTTTACAGTGTTCCTGACTGAATGGAATTTTAGTGAATGCTGTTATGCAAAGCAACACAAATGTTGTTCAACTGGTAAAACAGCAGCAATATAAACAAGTGTCTTATGAAAAATTGATATGTTGTAAAAAACTTAGAAAATGTGTTAGAACTACTTAGAAAATTTTGTGTTTGAGGATTTTTAGATGACAGAAATTCAAAGGTAAATGGGCCTTGCTTAGTTAGATCCGTTAGTTACAGTAGATATGTTAGCTTGACCACCTCCTTGGATAATTTGTTACTAAACCGGTACCAGGACTCTTACAAAGACAGTTCTGATTTGATAATTGAAGAACTGGATCAACCCCAGAAAAATATATGATGCTGAGTTGGAGGAAAGAACCACTTCTGCCAGGAGCTGGTGGTGAACTTATGAAGACCAATGAAAACGTGTTGTCCCATGTTGAGAAACTTCGAATTAGTGTCGCTTCTAGTCCGCTTAATTCAAAACCAAGTTTGGCATATCTTTATTAATTTGGAGCTGTCATTTATGCATTCTGTTTGAAACACTGTGTAAAACTTCCATTTGCTGTGTCGCTTATAAGTACAATTCAGAGGTTAGAAATGGAAGTTGGCGCATAAAGCATTCACAAACACAGTTTATTTAAGAGTGTTTGTAAAATTAGACGTGTGATATTAAGAATAAATGAGGAAATAGTGAAACAACAGAACAATGTTTATCTTCTTGCAAAAGAAGGAGGGTCAAACATAGCATCAGAGTTGTTTTAAGTGACATGAGCAGCTCTTCTGCTCTGGAAAAACAAACCAGTTTTTAGCTATCGTGAAACCAGTTCAGAACCAGCACCAGGACCAGCAGTGGAAAAGCCCTATGAGAACTTTTCCCCTGATTTTCCAAACCAAGATTCACACAACTCCCACTTCAAAGTAACCAGACTATTCCACTAAGCAAGAGAAAGTGCAAAATCTGTCTTTTTTTTTTTTGTGGAAACAAGATCCAAGTAAATTTGGTGAAATTTTAAGCTCAAATACAAGCTTTTTTTGGACAAAGTTTTATGACACTCACAAGGTACTGCTATACTGGCAACCCCCATAAATAGATCTGAGGTTTTTAAAGCCAGTTTGTCAGTAAACTGAGCAACCGTGTGGATTATCCCAGCTAAAGGTGAGTGCAGGGAGTGTGTAATAATGTGCAAATACACGCCGCGGTGCACAGGACAGCCAGTGTGAAGCTCGGGCGAACTGAGAGAGGCTGGTGTGAGTAAAGCTTGTCTGGCAGCGAGGCCAGCTTACAGGCCCTGTCACAGGTTCCCCTTCCTCTCTGATGTCTTTGAGGTCGTAGTCTGAGTGTCTCACTCTGTTTCTCCTCCTACGGTGGTTTACACAGATTGGTGATGTAATGGTTAGCATACGAAGGCCACACACAAACATGCTCTCGCACACGAGACGCACACACAAACACGGATTCTCATGCGCACAATGCAGACGCCGCACCACATACCCATAATTACACACGTATACTGAATGCACACCCTTTTGCACAAACCCTGGATTCCCCCTTTTCCAGCAGGCTCCACCGTGCGCTCCCTCTCACACGCACCAAAACAGCACAAACAAACGCAGTCGACTCGTTTTATTTTGCACACTCCTCTGTCAAAGGGCAGCCACCGTGTGTCAGAGCGTGTGAGCAGCTGGTGCTGGTGGATGCATGGCCCAACGTCAGACCAGGCGCTTCAGAACCACCCAGGAGACCCCCATCACGAGGGAGAGTGACTAACTTCACTCTTTCTTTTCTTCTCTCCCCAGCTGTGTCTTCAAACGCAGCTTTGATGTGGGAAATTAAAAAGAGTGAGTGTGTCAATATCTCCCTGCATCCAACCGCACTCATCTACTTCCTCCCCTTCTCCTTTCCCAGCTTTTCTTTTTCTTTTTTTCCTCCTCGACTGTTGACTCGAGAAAACAGAGCACGGCCGTGCGTGTTTCTGCCACAACAACTCCGCCACCCACTCGTTGCCACCAGGCCCTCGTCTTTCAGAGGGTGTTTGTTTGTCTGTGTAGGCCAGGCGCTGAACTGGCAACTCTGTGCGTGCGTGTGCGAGTGTGCGCACACAAAGCCCACCACTAATTATTTTCTAACCACACCATGAGTGCATGTCTGTGAATGAGGGTCTCCTAATCTTACACCCAGACTCAAATATGCTTTTATTTCTCCCCCTGCTCACTCTGTGTGTATGTGTGTGACTTTTGTGCGACATGTTGTACAGTTTGTGTACAGTATGGTGGGCTAACTGTCCTGCTGTGACGGCTACAGACTCATTTTTCTTGCTTTCATGCACCTGACATTGTTTCCACTCGTCGGCTGTGCGGCATAAAGAAACAAACGTGGTCTGTGATGTTTCTGCGTGTAGCCACACTTTCTTTTTAACCATTTTCAAGGGAACCGATGCACAATTTTATATATATTCTGCCTAAGATTTTTTTTCTTTGTCTACGCAAAAATGGAAGTTTGATGAAACGAGCAAAAACCCCAGAAGTCTTTCTAGCTCTACGTCTCTTCATACTTCACAGGGGAAACGGTCAGAGTTTTAATGGGTCATAAAAGTTGGACTTTACGTGACTAAAATGGTATTTTGAGAATTCCAAAATTGCAGTTTTAGGGTTTTTTTTTTTTCAAGATTTGAATAAGATGGTTAACTTTTGCTGATGATGTCACACTTGTACTTCTCTAAATTGTCCAATATTTTGTCAAACACTTTTTATTTCTACAGTCTTTATACTTTGTACAAAATGTAGGCATTTCAGTTTTCTTTCCCCAGCAAGTCACTCACTGCCAGTGGTGCAGTCTACATTTTTGTAGTTGGTATACTGTGCTTAGAAACCAAAGTACACTAGTTAGTACAATGTATGGTAATTGTCAATTTATTTAGATTTTTAAGCAGATTGAACACTTCCAAACTTCTCTGATGCTTATATTTGAATAAATGTACAACAAACTTTGTACAACAGTTGGCTTTGTATTAAAAACATGTTATATAATTTATAAAAATCGTATCAAAGCAAAACATGTTCAAGTATTAAGTAGTAAGTACAGAATTTTACAATAATTTGCTGAATAAGCAAATGTAATAAACAAGCGCTGCATACAGAAAAATTGTTAAGGAAGCATTTAACTGCCATTTAATGTATCAATGGCACGTGCCTAATGATATGTCATGTATCATTGGACACTTTTAAGTAGGTATACTGAAATTCTTAAGTTTTTCTAGTGGGTATACTCCGTATACCCGCGTATCGCGTAGACTACACCACTGCTCACTGCTGTACGACTTGTGGTTTTCTCTCAAACCCCTCCAGAGTACAGAGACTGCACAGCCAACTTATCATTGACATCCATTTTCAAGGATCAAGGTTTCTTTATTGTCATTCTCATCACATGTGGTACATGTGGTGGAACAAAATTGTATACACAGGGCCCCAGTTACATCCAACAAAAGTATAAATTATAAAGAAAAACAGTAATAAGATCTAAGATATGGACTAAGAAATATGCTAAACTAAGACACTAAACACTTAGTACAAAAACAATACGCCGAACAACAGCAGCACGAACATGAGTCTATGTGAGTAGATGAGTACAACTAAACACAGCAGCATGAAATAAATCAGCAGCATGAGATCAGCAGCATGGATAATCAGCAGCACATATCAACAATCAAAGTGGCATACAGCAGTTTTTTCACAGTGATAATTCTGATTAGGGATTCATGAGTCTAACAGCTTCAGGGTAGAAGCTGTTCCTCAGTCTAGTGGTTCTACACTTAATGCTCCTCAACCTCCTTCCTGAGTGGAGCGGGTCAAAAAGTGTGTGTGCTGGGTGAGTGGGGTCCTTCATGATGCAGGTGGCTCTCTTTCTGCATCTGGAGATGTAGATGTCTGTGATGGTGGGGAGGCTGACTGTTTTATTTATTTATTTATTAACCTTTATTTAACCAGGCAAATCCCACTGAGATCACAGATCTCTTTTGCAAGGGAGGCCTGGGCCTGAAGGCAGCCCAACATGCATGTTTTTGATCTGTGGAAGGAAACCGGAGTACACCCACACAAGCATGAGAAGAACATGCAAACTCCACACAGAAAGACCCCGGGTCCAACCGGGGATTGAATCCTGGACCTTCTTGCTGTGAGGCAACAGTGATAACCACTGAGCCGTCGTGCTGCCATAAGTTTTTAAGTTCTGACTGATTGTGTCATTGTGTCAAAATTTCTCCTCAAAACTGAAAGATATGGCTCTTTTTTAACTTGTCACATCTCCTACATTAATTACTGTAGAAGCTGAAAAAATTATGTTTGACGTGCAGACTCTTTGGCCACTTACAGTTTAAGATTTTTGTCTTTATAACTTATAGGTTTCACACAGCAACTCTTTGTCTGAGGCTTGTTTTCTAGTCTGTGTTTCTGTCTTTCTAAAACTGCTGTCAGGAAGTGGGAGACAGGTGTGTGGTTGCCATGGAAACTCTCAGTAGCTTGAACATTTGTTTTTCTCTTGGTTGTCTTGACACTTCTTGTAGGCTTTAAACATCAAAATGTGAAAATGCTGGATTAGATTATTAAAAAGTAAATCTCAAACTAAACAACCGTGTGAACGCTGAGTTCTGAATGACTCTGAGAAACTCTGTTAAAGAAGCTAAAACCAAGTTTGTAAAGTTAAAAGAAGCAGCTAAAAGGTCAAAGTGAAAAAAGTAGTTAAAAGAAAAATGTAGGTTAGGATTAGCAAAATGGTTGTTAAAAACAGCAAAAGGTTAGCTAACAGCTAGCTAAAAGTAACTAGTACCGGTCGATTAAAAAAAAAAGAAGCTAAATAAGCTAAAAGCAAGCTGGAGGCTAAAAGTAGCAATGAAAATATCCAAAAATTTGCTAAAAGCAAAAGTATTAAAAGACTAGCTAAAAGCTAGAAGCAGCAAACTACAAATGTATATATCAATAGACATGCTAGAAGCTAAAACTAGCAAAGGAGTGGCTAAAAATAAAAACCGCAAAAAAAAAAAACCTAGCTAAAAGCTATTATTAGCAGAAGTTTGGCTAAAAGCTAAAAGTATCAACAAAAACTACCTAAAAGTTAAACAGAACTGTAGTTAAAAATATATAAGTATCAAATAGTTCGTTGAAAGTATCAAAAGTTTTGTGACAAGCTAAAAGTAGCAAATGGCTAAAAATAGTAAGAGACTAACAAAAAAAACTAAAAATATAAAGATTATAACTTGAAGCTAAAAGCTGCAAAAGAGTGGCTAACAATTGAAAACAAACAAAAAAAAAAACTAAAAGCTAAAAGTAGCAAAAGGCTGGTTAAGCGTATATATTTCAATAACTACTTAAAAGCTACACGTAGCAGAACGATTTCTAAAATCTAAAAGTATTAAAAGTTCTGTGAGAAGCTAAAAACGGCTGGTTTATAGCTAAAATTCTAAAAACGTAGCCAAAAAAAACCCTAAAAATAACAAAAATCTGGCTAAAAGCAGCAAAAGCCTGGCTGAAAACTAAAAATATCAACATATCTGGAAGCTAAATGTTGCAAAAGACTGTCTAATAGCTAAACACAGTAATATGGCAGCTAAAGGCTAAACGTGGCAGAATAGCTAAAATCATAAGAAGTCAAAAATTGAGATAGTTGTAGATGTTTTGGAAGAAGTTGTAGAGATCTTGATCAGGAAAATACGTAGAAATAAAACATTTAGACAAATATGAAAGTTAGAAAAACCAAAGCTTAGTGCCCATGAGCCAAATGTTTTGATATATAAACAGCTTAAATAAGCACAAAATAGCAGAAGAAGTCAGGTTGTGAGAAGTATCCAGAAAAATAATGGTGTGAATGCTGACTCAGCTCGCAGAGTTTCACAGTCCCGTCAGAAGAGTTTGAAGTTTTCATGTTGGTGGATCCATGTTTTTAATAACTCTGTAAGACAACTTTCTGTGTGTGTGTGTGTGTTTCTATGCAACACACTCTGAGGCCCCTTCTGGCCCCGGACAACACCTCGCTCCTGCTCCCATCCATCTCTCACTCTTTCCTTCATCCTGAGAAGGGAAAGAAGGAGCAAAGAGAGAGAAAGAGAGAGACGGAGTTGAGTGGAGGTGTGTGTGTGTGTGTGTGTGTGTGGTGGGGGGAGTTAGTGGAAATAGCAGACTGCTATGTCTCAGGAGGGGTTCTGAAAAAAAAGGGTGAGAAGAGAGAAAAGGATGGCTAAAACTCCAGAGGCTGAGCAGACATGATGAAAAGCATGAAAACTCTGAATGGGCTTTTTTCTGCACTGATATGGGGAGGTGGGGGGAGATGGAGAGATTTAAAAAAAAAAAAAGTAGATGGGAGCTGATTGGTTCAGGTAGGACGGATGCGACGGAGGAAGTGCTGGGAGGGAGATATGGACCAGGACAGGACGAGAGAAAGTGATAGAGGAAGAAAAAAAAAACACAACGGAACTTTTTTTTTAAAGTTTCGCAGGCAGCAAGGAGGGGAGGAAAAAAAGAGAGCAGGAGAGAGAGAGCAGGAGAGAGAGAGAGAGGAGGGATTTGTTTTTATGAATGAAGTGAGTCACGCCGATGTGTCATAGGCCTAGATGTCTTTATAAAGGAAGTTTTAAAACAAGCCTAAACACTTCGCCGCGCGCAAAAATTGGACTTACAACACTCGCATCCCTCTCTGCCTCTGTCTCTCTGTCCTTTACTTCAAAACCAAACAAAAAAAGAAAAAGAAAAAAAGCAACTTTCCTCAAAGACTCAAACTTTGATTTTCTCTCTATCTGAGCTCACCCATCCATCCATCCATCCTGACACCTCTCCTCCTCTGCTCTGACTGAAGACTGAAGAAAACGGAGCACGTGACAACTTATTTATTGACTTGTCTATTAATTAATTATCTATCTGTGCACTTGTCTGGCTGCTGGTTGACCTCCCCTCTCTCCAATATGAAATGTAAGTTTATTATTATTATTATTTTTTTTTTTTTCATGTGAAGTTGTTCTCAGATGAAATGCAGCGTTTTATTGTTGAAAAGGAAGGAGCCGCAGCTCACAGGCTCCTGGTGTGATTCTTGCGGCTCACCTGTAATTATCATCTGTTTAACACTCCTGCCTTGTATTTGAACTTGAAAGGAACAAAAAAAAAAAAAAAAAAGAATGAATGAGCTTACTGTTCGGCTTGGCTTGCTCTTTCTAATTTATATATCCCAGTAATTCACAAAGCTATCGAGTTGCAGGTGTGACAATCAGCAGCATTCAGTGGAGGAGTGATGGAGATAGATGTTTTTTTTTTTAATGATTTAATGATGAACCTGTGACAACAAGCCTGTGCAGACTGAGCTGTTGTTTATGTTGCGCTCTCTGACAGCCTCGGGTCATTCTGAGATGACAGCGCGTCTCCTCTAATTGCTTCCGTTGTGTACCTCCTCAGTGCTGCTCGACTCCTCCTCCTCGCTCCTCTTCTCGCTGCTATTGGCCCAGCTGCCCGTCTTCACGTCGGCCTCTCCCGTGCGCCGCTCCAGTGACCTGGACAAGCTGTCCAACCAGACCAGGAACCTCATGAAGCTCACGCAGGAGCTGCTGGTAAGTGGAGGCGGTCAGCGCGGAAGGGGGAATGCGTGTCGCCCGCAGCCGTTCAACTGCGATGTTGTTGGGGTTTTTTGTGCCTTTCGAAATCTGCGCAAATCTCGTGCCATATCGCGAGATCTCCCTTGAAGCGGGAGTGTGCGTTGTGGATGACTCTCTGCTACTACCGCATCAACGTTTACCTGAACAAAAGAGCTGAGATGAAGCTTTTTTTTATATATATTAATTAGATTAACTTTAAAAGTTGATTGATTTTAGGTGTCCGGGTGCTGGCACAGAGGTTTTTGAATACAGCCATCCATTATCTTTTAACTGCTTCTTCCTTTTCGGGTCACGGGGGTCACTGGTGCCCATGTCCAGCCATCACTGTGCGAGAGGCGAGGGACACCCTGGACAGGTTTCCAGTCCATCACAGGGACACAAAGAGACAAACGAGACAGCCACTCTCTCACTCACACCTATAGGGACAATTTAGTTACCAATCAGCTTAACATGCATGTTTTTGGTCCCTGAAGCAGCCATGCCTGCCTGCCCTCCCTGGAGCAAATGAAGGCATCCAACCCTCCACCCGCCCCCCCAGGCGCCCTAGATGGCAGCTCTCTGCTCCACGCAGAGGGCTGTGGTAGCTCGGTGGTCTGTGGTTGCATCAGGAAGGGCATCCGGTGTAAAAACAATCGCCAAGTCTTCATGTGAGTTAGTTCGCTGTGATGACCCCTGAGAAAGGGAGCAGCCGAAAGAAGAAGAAAAAATTAACGTTTTCAAGTACTGGTTTAAATCCACTCAGTGGTTGTGAGATACTTTACTAACAGATAAACAGGGATTTTGTGTGATCCGTTAGAGCTCAGAGTAGAAGCTGAAGGTGACTGTCAGCTACTACCAGACAAAACGTTACCGCTGTATTAGTAAAACTCACTGAGATCCTGTCATGTTTCTGTTCTATGAGGTTGATTGGCTGTGGCAGCCATTTTGAACGGGGTTGACTCTAAAAGTTAACGAGCTGTTTATCCACAGATTACTTTCTAAGAGTTTAAAGTTTCCCCTCTGGCTCATCAGATATACTTTGCCAAATAACATAAAATAAAACATAAAACCAGTACTCCCCACCTCCTGCCTTTTGTTGGCGGGCGATAATGAGCCTTATTCAGCCTCAGTGAACTGTGAGAAAAGGGGGAAGGCGGTTCACCGCAGCCACACATGGATCTGCCACTAAACGGATGTTGAGGCTAATGTCAGGCATCCTTGCATCATCAGGCCGAGCTGTGGAAACGCTTTTTCAAGTTTACCAGGAGCTTCTGCGAAGCTTAAGCTGCTTTTCGTTAATCACAGAGCAGCTGTGGATCATTTGACCGGGTGATCTCACTTTTAATCCACGCTGAAACCTACAAGTGAGAGGAGCTCTGACTCAGCTGCACTTGTTGCCTGATCGCTGCACTTAAAGGCCATTTAATGAGAATTAGCGACGCTGCAATAAGGGGAAAAGGAAGACGTATTGTTTACCCATCTACACAGAAACACGCTCACGTTCCAGAAGGTTTAATTATCTCGATAAAATCCAAATATCAAGTTTTTTTAATCTAAGTGTCTGGCTTGAATCCTATTTGTTGACAGTTAAGCGAATAGGGAAATCAGATTTGAGAACTTAGCCAAGCCGCTGATCGTGTATCATCGCTGTGTTTTAACAGGTGAAAAGAAAAGTGCGATCATATCTCCGGATCTTTGGTTACACGCCACTGATCCTGCTGCTATTTTTTGCATCATGCAAATCCTGAAACTCTTTTGTTTAGAGGATAAAATCAAAAATAGCACTGTACTCTCTCTAGTCTTGGCCATTAGATAGTGGTCAGATAGAGAGCATGTGTGAATATGTGGCTTTGTTGCCGGGTTTTTTTTTTGGCCACAGTGGGATTGCAATACAATGCACGAATAAGGCCAACGTCTTCAAGGAGTATCAGGATAGTTACACACGGCATTCAGAAACATGGAAAATGTGCCTTTAAATGATTTCCACCCCACTTTTCTGTGTGGAAATCCACCAAAGTAAGGACAAAGTTAGGAAAGATAAATAGAATGGGAACCCACGGAAAGTCCCTGCAAATAAGCAAAGAAACTAAAGCTGCAAGGAGACAGAAATGTGTCTGAGCTACAGTTGGAATATCTGCGTATATAAGGGAGTGTGTGTGCGTGTGTTTGCACGAGTGCAAACTCATGCAATCTGTGCACTTTTGTGGCTTTGAGTGCGCACTGAGGTTTGTGTAAATAACCGTTGCATGAGGTGCCGTCGCGTTTTAGCCTTTTTGCTTTTGGTCCCCGCACAGCAAAGTGGACGGATAAAAATCAAGCAGATTTATCGCATTCAAGTATTTGCATTCAGGAAGAAAAAAAGGACTGGATGCTCGATTCTGTCGGGTGAGGTCATGGTCTGCGATGGGGAGAGCAAGAAGGAGGGGGGGAAAAATCAAATAAAAAGACAAGAGGGAGAATTAAAGGCTGCGAAAGATGGGGTGAAAACCACAACAGATGAAGAGATCAGAGGGCCGAGCGAATGACAAGCCAGTGGCTGTGTGTGTGTGTGTGTGTGTGCATGTTTTGTGCACCTGGTTTGACATGGCGAAGGGAGGGAAGTACAGGATAAGTAAGCAAAAAGGGGACAAAAGACAGCGGAGACAAAACACGGTCCGATAAAACATAAGCAAAGCTCTTACGAAAAGGCTGATGTAGAGACATGGGAGACAATGTGGCACATTCATGGCTACAAACATCAACACAAACAACTGGAGCAAAGGAAAACACATCATGGCAGGTTGTGGAAGCATTAGGCACATTCAACCTGTTTATACAGAGCATTTCTGAGCGCTCATCAACCTAATGTTGTTGTGTTCCTCTGCTGATTGGAAATGACTCATGCTACATCACTCATCTCCATTTGTTCCCCTGAATCAAGGCCACGTCTAAATTATACTACTGATGAGCACAGCTCGCCCTCTTCCAAAGTCAAACACCTGCACACAGGTGGTTTATCGCCCTCTGCTGGTCACAACGAGCACGACTTCTGTTGCATGGTTTACAACACAACTCCTAACTGGACAGCAGTGTTGCGTCATTCTATCTTTTTATAGCAGTGACCCTGGAGTTTCCCTGCTGCCTTGTGTTGTCTATCCCACTTAGAGCTTTCTTAGTCACCAGGCACGTTGTTATCCCAGCTCCCAGTAGAAAACATCCTGTGGGTTCGGGTCATTTGCTCTTTTTGTTGACGTTTGTGGAGGCTGGAAGTGGGTGAACTCACACTGACCCAATCGACCAGACTCCCTTCAGTGAAAGCTACCGTCTCTAGAAAACACTGATCCAGCTGGGGTGCCAGACTAATACTTTCCTCGTGTTGTCGTGACTTTTTCCCAGGATTTCAATTGCTCAATAACTTAACAGGCTGCTTTTCTCTTTCAGAGGGAGCACGCGTTCGACTCGGATGTGGAGTCCCACAGGTTTAGGTCCCTGCCAGAAATGAGCAACAGATCAGCCAATGACCTCACCAATCTTGAGGTAATGCTCTGATCATGTGTTTTGTACATGTGTACATGTCAAGAGAGGAGCTGGCCTGTTGCTGCTACGTACATTTTTCCACGTGCATGGCAAGTTTCTGAAGCATGTCTGTGTCGTTTCCAGCTGAAGCCCACACTCTCTCAGCTACATGCTGACCTGAAGTTGTATGAGCATCACTTTGAGTGGTTGAACCGGGTGTCAAAGAAGCACCACCACCCCGCAGTGCCCAAACTGATGGAGATGATCAAAGAAATGAAATCGCTCATCAATCTGCTGAATCGTCAGGTAAGAACTTAAGTTAAAACTACTTGATTCTCAGTTGTTTCAAAAATATACTTTTTTTTTAAGTGAGGAAGTGAGGAACTGAGGAAACGTTATGACCAATTAATATCGTACCTGTTGAAGATAGCTCTTAGGATGATCTCAGTTTGGAGAGATAAAGTTTACTTCTGACTGAACTGACAAACTAATGGTTTCTCGTAGCACCTAAGATTAAAGTGCTTGCCGCCTTCTTAAAACAACAAGTCCAGCACCAAAAATAAAAAGCCACTCATGCAAACGTTTTAAAAGAAATATCTTTAAATAGTTATCGTTTTTCCATTAGTTCTTTTTTTTAAATTATCTGATGATAATGTGTTAGCAACATTACCGGAAGTAGCAGGTAGCTCTGGAGAACTTGCAGCACACCAGGCTGTAATTATTTAACATTGATGCCAGAATAACTGTGGAATGCGAAGTTGACAGCAAATTAACGATTTACAAAATTGCTTTTATTGAACAGCTTTGAATTTTTTAAGATTAGATTTTTGTTTTAATATAACATCAGTCAATTTTGTTCTTTATCCCACTCTGATTAGCCTTTAGCTCCCACGCGAACAAACCATTAGCTCCAGTGCAAACAAGCTGTTAGCTTCTGCACATACAAACCGTTAGCTCACGCTTGAACAAGCTGTTAGCTCCCACTCACTCAAAACCATTAGCTCCAATGCAAACAAGCTGTTAGCTCCCGCTCGAACAAACCGTTAGCTCCAAGCTGTTA